TAGGAAAGCCTAGGGAGTTTTGCAATTTCTTTTGCTTAATGCTGTACCTACTTTCATTGGAGGCCTGTATGCAAGACAGCTCATCTAATCCTCTGACTACCACAACCAAATGAGAACAAACAAACAAAGTTAATGATCAATTATCTTTACAACCTCTAAAAAGGAACTTCAGTATTAATCCATAAACCATGTGAATCACTAAAACACACAGTACCAAGAGGTAAGTCGTGATGACCAGGTATCTTGCAGAATTGGGCTGACCCGAAGATGCATGGTACCTACCGCAATTTCTTTTTTTTATGAACTTGATTCATCATTTGCTTCTATTGATTTTAACAGGCAGGATCAATACCAAATCTCACAGACCAAGAAATCTGATGCAATCATGAAGTAGCCAGTAACTGATCCTTCTTAAGATTACAGCTCAGTGAGTGATAATCTTACTTCACCTGCCAATGTATTTCCTCATCAAATCCTCATTGTTATCAAAATCAATGTATGGAAATGCAGAAAATGTGGGAAAGATACAGAACTGCTAGCTCACCAATGTTAATGGAAGAACTCCTTTCTATTATTTATTTTCTCATGGCTCCATACTTAGCATTTATTGATCATTGAACTTTGCGACCCTCCTTGCAATGCTCATGAAAGATAACAGCTCTGAGACTTTTGAATTAATTAGGTGAACAAAACACTAGACTTAAATACATGGTCATACTACATTACGTTTTCTAATTTAAAATGGAGATCTAAATAACCTTTACATCTGTGCTTTGTGCTTCAAGCTGCCATTGAAAAACTGTGAAACAAGCAAAATGGTCTAACCAAGACTGCACTACCACTTGTATGCCTGTTTCAGCTATTAATTCACAAATAAATTGACATGTTCAAATGATCAGAATTAATTCTGCCATAACACATAGAATTTGCCGCTCAATTTCCTGTGAGCCTAGGAGAAAGAATTGATTCTATTTGCTGCTTCCTTTGTGTTTAAGACCAATTTCTTGGGACGATTAGGCCTTAGGGTAGTACATTCTGAAAATGCGATAAAGGGTCAATATTTTCAAACACCAAGGGGAGTTGGGGAATGACGCAAATATTGCTATTTCAGTTTAAATGTAGAACTCAGTTTATAGGGTGGGTGTCAATATGGTTGTTTCTCTCCACAATCCCAATTAAGCAAAAAATAAGCCTTGAGAACAATTTAGCACTGACATTGTAACCCAACTATAAAGTTTATATGTTCTGTGCTTTGCACATAATGCATTTACATTTTCAAACAACTCATGAAGAGATTTCCACAGAGCGGGGAGTTATTCTTTTTTTTTTTTCATCTATATTCTTCATGCCACTCATTGATTACTTTCAACACCAAAATTCTTTAGCTTAAGACGGTCTTACCCCAAATTAATCTGGGAAAGAAGGAAAAATGGTACATTCCATCTTGAAGACATTTAAATTGTGCAGCATTCTCCTATAATCTCTAAACACCAACAACCAACAAACTATATTTCATTCTAAAACAAATACTGAAAAGATACAACCCAGTGCCATTAAAACTAACTTTCTTCACTTTTCATAAAATGCAAATATAAAAAAATCACAATATGATAGAAAATTAGTTTGGGTAAGGCATTACTGTGGATTTAACTGTCAGCTTATTAAGTGCTATGCATTTTTACAATTTTGCACTGCCACGCATATAGATAAACATTATTCCATAATAAAAAGTTTATGATCTGGTAGCTATAAATAAACTATTTTCCATTTTATAAGAATCTAATACAAAAATTCACAGTCTAGTAAAATCCATGTCTACCAAATCATTCCTTGTTTTGGATTTAGCTTTGATTTTTATGAAATACAAACATATTCAGTAAATTAGTTGGAATAGAATATATTCACAAATTGCATATTGTCTGAAAAAATTCACACAGCAGATTGATTAATTAACTTTAAGTATTTCAACTAAAAGTGGAAAGTTTATACCAGTTACTACAATGCTTGGAGAACAATCAAATAGAAATGATGCCAAGCAATTGACATTATTTATAGACATTTTTCAGAATCACCTGTTTTATATTGTTTTAAGCACAGTTGTAAACTTTTGATTTTTAAGAGTTCTTTTGAACACGTTGCATGTGTTGGCTCATTAATAGGGCTGGAAAGCATAGCAGGCTGAAAGTTACAAAAATGTTAACACATAAAGTATAACGCTGCACGTTTCCACTAAATTTGGTTATTTCCAATTGTCAATAAACTATACTAGAAGTAAACAATTCACAAACATTTGCTTTTAAACTTCTACCATTCCATAATTTGTATACATGTGTGTACATTTGAGCCTGTGAAGGGGAAACAGACATAGATCCGTACTGGGGAATAAGATATATTGTATAGGTATCATTACTATAATTTCAGGTGTGAGGTGTACCAACATTTGAGTTGCTTCTCAATGTTTTCTAGTGATTCCAGTTCTGCTAGAACTTAGCACAGGCATGAACACACATCCTATAGTTTGGTTTTAGATGCAGGGATTCTGAATTTTTGCTGGTTGATGCAGCACATTTACTGATTATAAACTACATGACCAAGTGCACATGGTCTCCAAGATGTATGGGTCTGTCCTTGTATCCAGTGCAATTTTAACTTGCACGAACTCAGAAACCAACTAAATTGTGGTTCTTAGAGATGCTGACATATTGAAACTGTGCTATAAGCAATTGTTATATTAACAGGGTAACAAGAGTATAACAAGAATCATTTTCTATATTGCTTCAGCTTTGGCTATAACAAGAGACTTTAAAACGCTAATAAAAATTGCGTTCTAACACAGGTTAGGGAAGATCAAATCTGAGATATTGGAGGATGATATTCTAAATTTAAAATGTATCTAAATACTAGCAAAAGCTAACTGAGATGCTAACTTTGACAAATGACATTTTCTTTCCAATAGTTACAGTCAATAGATTATGGTTTCTTCTAATCAAACTTTCTTTCCAAACTTCCTGTCAAAGAAAACTCTCACTTAAGATCACCTGTGATTGTGCCCTGGATGATGCTTAGGCACATTTCTCACCCAAAATTGTGATTCTTCAATGCTTTGTGAAGGTGACCCTAACTTACTCAGCTTGTTTTTCTGGTACCCTCTAAGCGTCAGCCTCAACACCGAAAAATAAATTTTATTTTGTTCTATGCCTATTTCCCACCTAGAAAAAAAAAAGTAGAAAACTAGCGTTCAGTAGACCTTTTTAAAATAGGATTTATTTAAAGAGTTTGTGGGCATCAGGTCTTTAATCCCACTTTCTCTGATCACATGTATCCTGGGGAACTTTCGCTTACTTCAGGGAAGCTCAGGGGCCCTAGTTCAGTAAGGAACGCTAAGAAACAAACTCATCAGGCAGTTTTCCTGCGGAAAGTGACAACAACCATTCCGTGGACTTGCTTGTGAACAGCAGTCTGCTTCCAAACCATCACTCATATGCAATGCTGCATTCTGAAATCGACCCTTATTATTATTATTATTATTATTATATTTTAAAACAATAAAGATGGAGAGCTTCTTACTAGGATTAACCTTTCAACTGTCTTGGTTGCAGATGTAGTTAGTAAAACCCGTTACAAACGAGTGACATCGCTGGTAACTTTTTTTCAATTTAAACTAATTTATAATGGAGCCTTAAAAATTGGACCTCCTGACCCTGGAAAGCAGAAAGTTAGATCTTTGAAGAAGACAGAAGAAGCCAGCCCGCACGCACAGAAGGGAGTAACAACGGGAAGCCGGCTGCAAAGGAGCAGGAATGTGCACCCCAACCTTCCTCAGTAATGTGGCCTAAAGATTTAGCGCGGATAAACCCTTGCCCAGTCTTTGAAAGTCAACGGCTGAGATGCCCATTCCAGGACAGTTAAAAATCGATTCTGCCGAAAGAACCTAAGCAGGGTTTCTATTGAGCAAATGGCATCCTCCCCCAGAGAAGCGTGGAACCCGGGTTGAGTATTCGCCACTTCGGAAAAATTCACAACTCCCCATAATCGAAGAGTCCTTTAAGTTTCACAATGACAGGACTTTGAAAACATGTTACAATCTCCCTGGTCAAGCTGTGTTTTCCACCGTTGGCCTTGGCAAGGCTGTTAAGATTCCGGGTTGCTTTCCTGGGAGCAAACAGCGTTGAGGCCCTGAGCGAATCTCCTTTCCTAGATCCTTCCTAGAGCTTCCCAGTGTTTATTCTCAATGCAGTGGAATTGATCTTCAACTTTGATACTCCTTAGATTGTCCCTTTACACGTTCATATCACTCAAATAAGAACTACTACCACCTTTCTCCAACACGTTTCAGCATCTACATAAAGTCTGACACTTAAAAAAAAAAAAAAACCTCCCCAATTCCTAAAATATTCTTCTCCAAGAAAGGTAAATTTGGACCACTTGGAATAAGGTGCTATTTTAAGAAATTCCGAAATCGGAATAAATACCCTAAACTTTTTTTTTTTCTCATGTGATTTGCGCCAAGTTCCATGTCCAAGCTCCAAATATTGTGCAACAATTTGGAAATCCAGTTAACGATGGGAAAAATGGAGTTGGTCGGAGTCGGGAAGCTGCTGGGAGAAGCCAGCACTCCCGCCCCAGGGACGCGCATCCCCAGGCGCACGCCCCTCCCGGCGCAGCGCCCGACCGTCACGCTGAGCAATCGATTTCACGAACTGTCACAAGTTCCCCTTTTTTCTCAACCTTCTGTTAAAGCAGTTTGGGACCTTGGAGAGCCTAGGGTCGCTTCTGGCTCCATGTGGGTTACCCCCAGAGAAACACTTGTTCCCCCAAGGAACTGAACCGGAGCTAGTCCGCTGATTCCAACCAACGCGGGGAGTCAGGAGAGGGCTGGACTCCCTCGCATCTCCTCTTCCCTAGCCTCCCTTACCAGCTGCCGCCTCTCTGCAGTGCAAGCCGCCTCCCTGAAGTTGCCCTTGGACTCTGGGTTCCCCCTCCCGGGGCGCACACCTTACCTGAGCTGTCGCTTTTCCTCTTGCCGCCGCTCCTCTTCTCCGCCTCCGCGGGTGACAGCGCCTGACGGCCGTAGTCCCCAGGCGCGCAAGCAGCCCCGGTCGGGGTGCTGGAGCCCAAGCTGGTGGAATTGGAGCACAGCACAGGCGGGCTGCTGCCTAGCTCCGGGGGCCCTCCGGAATCGGGCTGGAGGCAGAGGCTGTGCCGGGCCGCGCTGGGCGGGGAGGTCATCTGCGGGAGGTGCCAGTTGGTTTGCAGCGCCTGGTGCTGCTGCTGTTGGTGGTGATGGTGGTGGTGATGGTGATGGTGGTGGTGGCCCCTGTGATGCTGGCTGGCGAACATGCCCTCCTCGTTGGGGTAACCCGCGATTATACAAGATGAAGACGAAGTGGAGAGCTCGGGGTAGGACATGTGGTCAGATCTCCCGTGCAGCGCGAGCGACGACTGCGAGAATGGGTGCAAGCCTTGAGCCGTGGCGTGCGGGCTGCGCAGGCAGCCGAAGAGCGGGTGTTCCATAGCATGCAAAGTCTCTGGTTCCAGTCGGAAGACTTCAGGACGGCTCCGACACCAACCACCCCTTCTGTCACTTCTTAGTGCAAATTGTAGGGCTGACTCCTACCCCGCCCTTTCCCAGGCAAAAGTGGCTCCGGTCCTGACTGCCCAGCTCAGATAATCCCGGTCCTCAAAGCTCCAGGGCTGATCCTCCTTTACATATAAACACTGGGACCCGGAGGAGCTTCCTTGCGAGCGACTCAGATGTCAAGAGTGGGGATGGTTGAAGCCAAAAAGAAGGTGGTCCTAGAGAACTGCTCGCCGAGGGAAATGGCTCTGGGAGGTTATAAATAGAGTGTAACGTGAGCCGGGGGCTGGCTTAGGATCCCTGCGCTGACCACATACAAACTCCTCCAAAACTCCCGCTCACTCTGCGCCGCGCGCTTCCAGCCTCAACTTCCCAACTCTCCCGTTGGACAGCCCCAACGCATCCACCACGCCCGCTTGGCCCTGCCAGGTGGCCGTCCGGGCTGAAAGCCGCTAGCCGGACGCCTGGATCCAGCCCGGGCGCCGCAGCGCCCCACACCAGCCCCCATCGCCGCACCCACTTTCTCAGTCAGCCACCCTCCTGCCAGCCCGCGCCTGCATTGGCCCATTGGCCTCGGGAAATCTTACTTTCCAGTATTTGGGGGGGGCGGGGGAAACTCACCCATCAGAAAGCCGGCTAGGGGTGCGCTAAGTCCCCGGGGAGGCCAAGACAAAACAGGGTTTAAGAACAGATCAGGAGCTAAGTCTGGCGCCTGCTGCGAAAAGTTTCGCATACTTTACTTGGTGTGTGCACCCCGTGTGCAGGGCGCGCCCTGCTTTTTTTTTTTTTTTTTTTTTTTTTTTGTAGCCCAGGTGTATGGAGCGCGGCTGGCACTGGCTTTCCGGCATTCAGTTCCAGGTGCCCGGTTGCGCTGCGCGACCTGCCAGAGCGCTTAGTGCCAAAACGATGGAGACCCTGTGGGGTGAGCAAGAGCAAAATGATGTGGCCAGGCGGAGGCAGACGTCCGCACCCGGCCATCTGGACTCGAGCCGCCAAGTGGAGACTTTTTCTCTGCTTCTCGTCCCCTGGCCCCCTTCACTTCCCTAGCCACTTGTCTATCCAGAACAAGACTTCCAGGGTCAGGAAGATTTTAAAATCCCTAAGTCTGGTCACTTGAGATCTGTAGGTTTGCACGCGTGTGGCCAGCCTGGCCTCGTTCCCCAGGAGCCACCCCAGGTCCCCTGACTTTCTTTCTCATTCTCACTCCCAAGGTTCATCCTGCAATGGATCAGCTCGTCTCACTTCCCCAACTCCCTGCTATGGTTCCATTGATTGAGAAATCAGACCTTGTGGTGTATCCCCAAGGCGTTTGCTTGGGCGCTTCAGGTCTCTCTGGGTTGTTGTCCTTTACATCTCGCCAAAGAAAATGTTAGAAAACTTTGGAACCAGCAGCGTGTGCGGGTTACCGGTTTTGCCTGGGCGCGCCGGGAGCCGCGGCCACTGCCGGTGCAGAGCTGAGCCTGTCGGGTTAGGTGCGCATCTGCCCTTCGGTCTCCAGGCTGTGCCACACCAGCAGAGCCGGCCCGGTTATTTTCATTGTCTCAGGTGTCCGGAGAAGGGGACCAGGACTTTGAAGTTGTTAATGAGATTAATGGACACAGCCAACGGGACTGGACATCTGGTTTGAATTAGGGGCAAGTACCGATTCATCTCTGGGAGGTGTCCCCAAGACAGAACCGCGGGCCCTCTCCCTGGGTGCGCCAAGACAGGCCCACGGCTTTGCCATCAACCTTCGCATCCGCGTGAAAGATGGAATTGTTCGCCGCTGTCCTGAGGTGGGGGTGGAGTGCGGGCTTGATCAGGAATTCAGAGATTTGTAAGGGCTGCTGCCTTTAACGGAAATTGAGCCCTATTTTGAGGGAAATTAGTTTTGCAGACTTCGTTTAAGGAAAAAAAAAAAAAATAGGAAGCAAACTTTGGTAGAGCAGCTGCGAGGCTCTTAGTCTGGGGCTGACCTGGAACCTGCTGCCTGGGGTCCGTGAACGGTAAGGTTTTCTGCGACGATGCTTCGGGAATTTTACGCGGGTGTAGACTTCGCGAGGGCGCTCTGTGCAGGTTGCACTTTTCTAGCATGGCGTCCGGTAGTTACATTTGAGGGATAATTATTTTTTCCTGCGCCTTTGGAGCTTTAAGATTAAAAAAAAAAAGTGAAGAAAGTTGGGAGGGAGGTATATTCCTTCCATATCGTCAGAATATACATATATTAATTTTCACTATTTTTATGGCTTCAATATGTGCTCTTATATTAAAAGTTTGAAGTACAAAGAGCAATAACCCAACAAACCCCACCCCGAATGCCCTAGCTCCTCTCTGCACGGTGGATGCAAGGAGAAATACTTTTTTAAAAAATTTTATCCAAACTGGAATGGAGACGGCCACTTTCCGAAATATTCGCAGGACAGTAGGTTGTCATCTAGGAGCACGGTGTGGAAGATCAGAGGAGAAGGACTAAAGAAGGAGCTGGACACCAACAAGAAGCAACCAGAAAGGCCCTTCCTGGCTTTGCATCCCCTTGGTTGAGCAGCTGCCAAATGATGTGTGCTTGCAATACATTGGAATCTAACCGTGGTGGCAGGTAGCTGGCAGCGCCACCACACGCCTGGCTTCCTAACCCGGGAGCTGCCGCTTGCCCTGCCTGGAGTCTGCTCAGAGCAAAGACTGGCTAATCTCCCACTCACCATGTCAGATGTTAACAACATGTCCAGCAACCTCCCTACTGAACCTGCTTCTGTCAGCGTCGGGAACCGTGAGGCCAGAGACTGGGCAGGAAGAATCCGAGTCCGTCAGAGGGTGGGGGAATCGCCGCCCAAGGAGAGCAGCAAGGGCAAAGCCAGCAGGACAGCGTGTTCTGGAAGGAAAGAGCAGCCGAAATGAGCAAGTCCCAATTTCGGAAATAGCAGAAAAACACAGAAAACACTGGAAGGAGTGCGGCTCCAACAAGAAAGGAGTGGAAAGGCGCTCTTCTCACTGTGTTCCAGAGCTTAGCAGGACCTGCTAGTTCCCTCTGCATTCTAAAAATGTATTGCTTGTTCCTTACAATGTTTTTTTTTTTTAAACCATTTTTTAAGAATGTTTGGAATAAAGTAAGATGTTGAATTTTTACTTTCTAGGCCACAGAGAAATTTTTTAAGCGTTTTAATGAGAAGGGGGAAAAATCCTAGCATTTCCTATAAAAATTAATTCAGCGCTTCACATATATACCATTCCATGTGGGAAGCTGTCATATTATCCAATGCTTTCAGAAACAAATATATATTACAAGATTCACAATAAAATTTTATAGAACAGCCATTCTAAGTTTGCATGATATTTGTTATTCTGTATTATGATATACTTGGATTTTTTCAAAAGGTGATATTAATGTCAGCATTTCATGCATGCTTTTCATATCAAGAAATACATTGAAAATGGACTGGTTATATAAAAACATAAGTCATTGGCACTATCAAAATTATTTTGCAGATTTCCTGGGTTCTTTAAGGTCTTGGTGTGAATACATCATTCCCTCTGTTAGAATGAAATGATAATCAATAGTGAAGGCAGAGGTGTTTTTTTTTTTTAAATTAAGACTTTCATTCAAAAGAGAATAAAACTGAAACATATTAAACACCCAAAAAGCTTACATTTAAAATATCCATGATGATTTCCTCAAAAGCTGCCACAGACAGTTGTAACATGAAACTTGATGAGAAGGAAAATACACAAGATGAAATAGAACTGAATTCTGCATTGCACTGTACCTAAATAATAAACTTGCCTTGGTAACTTACAGAGAATTTGAATCAACTTTGGATTAACTAAGTCGAAGCCAGAATCTGTTGCAGAAGCATTGGGCTCTATTTTTTTTTTCAAGAAATAATAATTGAATCTTTCCATTTGTATTCTGAAATAAAGACATTTGAAAATGTATTTAAATACACTGAATCCCCAGTGCCAGCTTTTGTGATTTGGGCTGTATTCCGTTTCATGAAGCCTAAACAGAGGGACTGTTCAAGTGTTCATTGCACAGGTTAAGGGACAACTTTGCTGCGGCTTCTGCGTGCTCCTGAGTGAGGCTGCTGCACCCTTTCATGGAATGATTTTCACACAGTACTGATGCTTTTACCATTAAACTTTCGAAGTTTCTACATATCCTGCAAGAAATACATGTATGTGACTTCCGAGACATGAAGCAATAGCAGTATACTTTTTTCTAACTTCTAGTTCTTCCTATATTTCAATTGATGATCTCTTTCAGAAATTGTTGTTCTTTACATTGACTCCCTGATTAGCAAACAAAACAATGTGAAACTTTAAATATTACTCTTTGCTTAAGTCAATGAAAGAAAACACAATATATCAAAATAATGAAAATTGATTTAACTGAAAACCTTTAAGAAAGCCAGTAAAAGTCACTGGTAAACTCAAATGCAAATGATTTCATTGAAAATTCCAAAGATATACAATCCGCCATATTTTCACTCATTTCTTACAAGCATTCAGAGTTTCACAACATTTAATAATTGTTTGCTTGCTTCTATTTTCTTTTCCTTTTATAATGAAAGTTGGGAAGACTTGAACCCTCTGACCTCTGACTGATTCCCTTGAAATCCCGACTGAGCGCAGTCATCTTTGAATGATACAAATGGGAAAAATCACATTCAATTTTTACATTTTCATATGCACTCACTTCAGATCATCTCATTTTACTGATAATTGTAGAAGTTTTCAAAACTTTATAGTTGAAAATCATCTCTGTATCTCTTTAATAAAATACTGTGTAGCTCTGAATTCCGTGTAGTTCTACAGTCTCAAACTCATCACCAATCAGTTTCTATCCACAGTTTAAACAAATTCAACATTTACTCTTCTCATGTCCTAAAAAGCAAAGTAGTGCTTTGAAATGGATTACATTTAGAGCAAGTTCATAAATTCAGCGAGCAGTCAAAACGAAAGATGAGTTTCATAAGTATAATCTTTGTCTTCTGTCCTAAATTTTCCAATTAATGTTACCTTGGTACTTAGACTGTTTTTTATACTTTCAT